CGGGCGGGCGGCGGCCCCCAGGAGCCGCGGGCCCCGCAGCGCCAGCAGCGCGGCGCAGCTCATGGTGGCGGCGGGAGCGCGGGCACCGCCCCGGCTGCGGCTGCTAACACAGGGCTGGGGAGGAGCTGGGGCCTGCGGAGGCGATTGGGAAAAGGGGCGGGAGAAAGTTTATAAACCCCGGGAGCGCGAGGGAGAGTGCCGGGCGCTGTGCGGGTGCAGCGGGTGTACGTATAGCGCCAGTCATCTGCAGGGCAGTGATGGGTCCGGGCCGGGGTGTGTCCGAACGGGCCGCTCTGGCTCGGGCTGTCCCAGCCCCATGCTGCACACGGGTCGGTGACGGGGCTGTCGCATCCCCGAGGAGCTGCGGCTCCGCGGGCGCAGCCGTGTCACCCCCCGGAGCGTGCGGCGGAGTGTCGGGGAAAGCCTGGACAGTGGAAAGAAACCCCGTCATGAGGCTCGGGATAACGTCAGAAGCGTGTCAGATAGTCCCGTTATGGAATCCTTCTGAAACCTTTCCCTCCTCGCCTAAATACAAAATATGTTTATTGAAGAGTAAGACTTTCTGTGTGGGAGTGCACATCTCTGTTCTGACATAAAGCATTTCTCAGGTCCTGGACTGAATTTCCAGTCTGTGGACGTGAGGAGAGTGTCACCAAGCCAGGAAACTCTCTCGTATATAAGGAGGAAGGATTTCCTGGTCCTAGTGTCTGGGCTGTCTCTGGATATCCCCACAGAGGGCTATCCAGAGACAGCGTGCTGGATATCGTGTGCGGGTGCTCCAGAGCGAATCCTCCGTGTCTGGCATCAGCGAGGACTGTGCCTGAACAAGAGTCTTGTGAGGTACTCTGACACAACAACAGCTTGGCCTTCCTTAACAAATACACTTCTGTTCCAAGTGGGTTTGAATTGCATCTTGCAAATGATACAATAATAAAATTGGGAGTTTTTGCAAGAGTGATGAAAAATAAAACATTTGGCGTAACACAATGCGAAGTGTGTGGTGATGATGAGAGGGGGCTTTACTGATGTGAAAAGTAGCTATGTTGAAAATAAATAAGTACTTCTGGAAATTGTTGATAAAACTTCCAGTTAGACTACTTTCAAATTGTGAATAGAAATAATGCAGTTGAGTGAAGATAGGAAATAATCATGCTCTGATCTCAGAATTTGGTTCCTTATTTAGCGAGGTACAATGTTTTCCTGTTGCAAAGAGGGGCTACAAAGCACCATTTTATGTTCTCAGTGCCTGAGTGATGAACAGTTCCTATCCTAATCTATCAAAGAGGCAGAACCAAGGAGGTCATAAAGAAAGGAAATTTGGTTCCCTATACAGATTTTTATTACTACACTATGAAAGTATTTCATTATTATGTTGAAAATGTGCAGGTTTTGAGTCCCTATAAACTAGTAAACATGCAAATAATCACAGTAGGGGAGAAAAAACACCAGGTAATTTATGCATATTCAACTCTAGAGAGCTTTGTCCTAAATATATATTTACTGTAGCTCCTTAAAGTCAACATTGAATCAAGAATCAGAAAGAGCAGTCTCTGGTACAAAATACATGGCTATCCATACAGACATAAAGACAGATGCTTTCTGTAAATAAACTTTAAAGTGTCTTCCACGTGTGTTTTGATACGGAATGCATTGCAGTCAGACGCGTTGATATTGCAGCGTGGCAGGAGACATGGCTAATCCTCTGCAAGTCATGCAATCCTCTCAGATCCTGGGGTGAAATTCAAGTGTGGTTCGCCTAGGCTGGGACACTATTGCCAATGTGCTGCAGTCCTGCCTTCTGTGCTTGAACACATCCAGAATTCATGCCAATCCCTGATAAGCAGAATCATTGATAACACATGGATGTAAGTCAAAGTTCCACTTGAATGGGCTGGGCCACATTTTCATGCTGCAAAACTCCTGGGCGTGAGGAGGAGAGCTGGCTGCTGGGGCCAAGGGACCCAGAGGCCGGCAGGTGGCTGTGTTTCACCGCTGTCCGCACCCTCCTCGCCGGCAAAACCATCCCTGGCCCCAAAACCAGCCACCTGCTCCTGCCAGCATCCTCTGCGCGATTCTGTCTCTCCGGATGAACAGGGCATTTTATCTGTGTTAAGAAATACTCACATGCACGTGTGTATGTTGGTGAAAGAGTCTTGGAATCTAGAAGGCTTTATTCTTTTATCTTCTCTCAACTATTTTTGTAGCATTATCGATGCACGGGCGACTCCCGACATGTGTGGAGAGGGAGAGAAAATGAGGCAGCTGACTCCATCATCAGAAGGCTAAATAATTACTTTATTATTCTACACTACATACATTGCATCTAAACTGAATCTGCCTTGCACTCACCCTTGCTCACAACTACACACAACTGCACTCATTCCTCGACTCTCTTGTGACTGTCTCGTGACAGTCCAACACACACACGCTTGGCCCTGACAGGCCAAGGGAACAAAACATCCTCGCTTCGGGTAAACGATCTCCGTATTGCATTCTACTTTGGCACAGCAAGCAAGATAACAATTATGGTTTTCCTTCTTCTCTGCTTGTCTCACAACTTCTCTCTGTTTAGAGGGCATGCGAATACCACATAGCATGGATTTTGACAGCCACTGCTCGTGGTTCGGAGGAAGGACTGGATCTTGCTTTGTCAGGAACCATTTCAAGGTCCTTATGGAACCTTAAATACAATTTTAGCAAATTTGTATATGGATGTTGACAGATGTGTGAGACAATTAATATCCAACATATATTTAATATTAAGACACACCCATTAGTTGCTCTCCCAAAAACACAAGGAAAGGATTTAGGACCATTTCCATTATTTGCAATGGTGCAGTGAAGTGATAAAGGGATCAAAACCTGTATTCTGTTGGTTCCCACAGAGAATGTGTTTCTTACTCAATTTTTACTTGTCCATAAGTAAGTAGACTGTTTAATAAGCTTATTGAGAGTCCAGCAAAATCACCCATTTTTCTGCGAGAGTAATTTTACCTCTATACCCTCCATTTCACAAATTATTTTATTAAAATTTACTGAATTTTCATTACCATCATCATTCCGTCCTGGGCAGTAATGATTAGCTCAGAGCCCATTATTTCATACATGAGATTAGGATTGTTTAAATGAAAACACAGGGAAATTATATAGTGGTTCTTTTCCTGGTAGTCTTGGGAAGCAATGCTCTGTGATGGTCAAGTCTTAATTTTGAGATTTTTTTGAGGTGATTTAAGAGATTTCAGGAACAGTTTATTGCTCTTTGAGGACATTAGATGGCACTGTGTGGTTGTCAGTGAAGCCCAAAAGAAAGCACAATGAGCAACAAGCCTGTGTGGAATTCATAGACAGGAGGTGCTAGTAAAGGCTTCGCTGTATTTGTGACCTGTGTAGGGGATTTGGGTCAACAATAAGAGCTGTCACAACTCACTCACGTGGTAGGAACCCATTGCTTAATGTAACATTTTTAAGAATAAGCCAGAATTCCTCTCATAATTTGTGAGAAGGAAGCACAAGAAAGAAACATCTTCCGGCTTTATTTTTTAGAAGAAAGATGGTTTTTTCTGCTCATGGTTTACATATAGATAAATCTGACCTGACCCTATTTGTATTTGAGTGACCTTAAATACTTATATTTACATTTAATCAGCTAGTGCTATTAATGTTTCAAACATAAGCCTGTGCTTCTCTTCCTGTAAACAGATTCATGCACCAGCATGGAGCACAGATAATGTGTAAGAGAACTGTGGAATTCATTCTTCTACTTCCATCATCCTGAATTAATGGCATTCAAGCCTAATACTGGAAGTCAGGGAGGACAACACAGAGTGCATTTTTCCAAAACAAATACACTTTCCATTCTATTTCTAGGATTTTTCTGACAGTCAGGCTTCCTCTGATTCCTTAAAAAAGTACAAGCAAATTATTTCCCAGGCCAGAGATTTATTATGAAATACATTACATTTTTGCTGTATCTTCTTTAATGTTATTGTCAATAAATTCCTGTCCAAACCAATAATATCAGCCTATATGTTTAATTATTGAAGTAGACTCTGTTTAGTTTATTGAGGCTCTGTCCTCTCAACTAATTACAAAATACTCAGCAAATATTTGAATTTACTACTTATCTCATTCCCACAAATTAGTGCATCTCTCTGTTTAACAAATAAGTTCACTGTTCTTGCCCTCAAGGTAAAGCATACAGTGCAATCTCTCTTCTGCAGACCAACCTTTTCTAAGGGAATCAACAGCTGGAAATGGTTTCTGTAGATCAGTAAAGGCAGACAATTTACTATGTTGCATCAAATACCCCTACATAAGGCACAAACAACTCAAAGCTCAATAACGATGTTTCACTGAACATGGTTGGGGCTTTGTAGTAGATTTTTAGAATTTCAAGGTATAACACCCTGTACTACAGGACTCAGAAAAACCTCAGCTATGACAAAACAACAGAATGAGTTATCTTCTGAATCATCTTGACTCCGTTCCTTTATATCACAGACCTTTTTTCAGATAAAAGAACACTCTTAATACCTTGAGATTTGAAAGAGGTTTAAATAAATTCTTTAATGCATGAAATTAAGTAAGCAGAACTAACTAAACAGAAACATCATAGGATTTTTCAAAAATAAGATAATAGCTCATTCGAACCACCAAATATCTGGCTTATGGATATGAGGTGCCTTCAGAAGTATTATGATGATAAAATGTCTTATTTTTGATGCTTTATTTTTTACATATTTGTTTAAATTTATTTGTAGTGATAGTTTAAGACAAAAAAAGAACTATGTATTAAAGCAATAACCCTTGGTTATTCTTTGCAGAAAACAAAGTGTCTTTCATGTTATTAAAAGTGCTGGCATGAACAGTCATGAATCAATATAACTTCCATGTTTTGATTTAAGAAAATATATTAGCCTGTAAGTATTAAAGAATACACTCTAAAATGCATATTCCCAGTGTGGAGGCAGCAAAATATCCCATAATTTCTTTCCAAAATGAAAGGTTCTGCCTGACACGAAGTACATACGTTTCTTACTGTTCTTCACTTAATTTTCAAGGAAACAACTATTTCCAGCCAGTATTTGAGCTGAAGCCCAGCAAGTACCTGTGCTGGTGTCACAAATGTAAAGACATTAAGGGCTCTCCTTTGCACAGCAACTGATTTTTGTTGACTCATTTCACTTCAGAAAGGGTGAGGAAGAAATGTGCTGCACAGAGTGGACTATGCAATTGGAAAAAAATGTTGTTGTTATTTACCTTTCACCCACATTTTGAAAATTGAAAGAGAAAGATAAGTTACAAAACATTTTTTTTTTTTCATTTTCACTTTAGTGTGCTTGACTTTCTTGTCCACCATTGACATAGCTTCGCTACTAGACAGCTTTTTAGTTGTCTGTAGTTCTCATCCTATTTATCATACTTATTGATTGACCTAGCAAAGGGGATTTTGCCCACTAATCTGTTTAGTAATGCAAGCACGGTGATACATATTGGTGATGGATAGCAAAACATTGTAGGGATTTTTGTTTCATAATTTGCCATTTGGTATTTTTCAATATTTATTTATTTTTTAAATAGGAAAATTATCTTCTGGAGCATCTAAAAAAATGGAAGTTCATGTCAAGTCCACTGAACACTTTAAGTTAAATAGTAATAAAAGCCCATTGGAAATCTTAAAACTCATCACTGAACATTTATAAAATGTTGTAGACTGATTTTTCAGGTTAGATTCTTAAGGCAAGTAAGTATAAGCTTAAAAAACAGATGTTTTTCCAAGGAAGCCATGAGGATATTCTGATATTCAGGAACTAATTTACAGACACAAACGTGTTTCATCTAGTTTGTTTTTCTGATGAAAGGTTTTTCATGAATGATGGGCAGGTGTTGGCTAGTGTCCCAGTGGCTGACAAAAAATACTAATCAATACTGAGTTGAAGAAAGCTCTTTCAAACAAATAATGATCTTTACTCTCTCATCAAAAATAAATTTCAGTAAAAGAGTACACTGAGTTTGAGAACTCTTCCTTCCACCTGTGCTACCACATATTGTTCCTCATCTGTTACCAAACCAGCAAACAGAATTACTGGAAAGAACACACTGGCCAGAAAATCAGCATGGCTAAATAAGGCTGGACATGTCTGAGGGTGCAATTAGGTCTCTGGCACACTGGTTTGGTAAGTGGGTCAGCTGTTTTGCAACCAGGACCCACCATGACAAAATGGTATGTAGGAGAGGAAAAATACCACATAGGATATGGATTGCTTTCAACTTAATTAAAAGTAGGAATAAGATCTTTCTAAGCAATGAGAGGTAAAATAACAGAAGAAAAGAAAAAAGAAGCAAATATATGAAATGATTAATTATTCATGACCATGTAATCAGGTAAGCAAACAAAAATTTCCTGAGGTTTAAATATTTACATCTTCTGCTGAGAAGTACCACAGTTGTAACCACAAACACAGCTAAGCAACACTTATAATTGCAGTGTGCAAATATTTGGTAATCATTGAGGCAATATTGAAAATTTACTCCTTCATGACTGTAAATATATACAGTGATAATTTTGTGTAACATAAGCATCTGGCTGAAAATTCAGGTTTCCTATTCCTAACCCATTTGTAGGGATAATGATCCTTTTGTTTTTCCCACCAATTAGACATTTACCTTGAACATTGAAACTCTATTTATATAATGTTATTATGTCATTATAGCCATTCTCATACTTTAATTATAAAATCTTGGGGGTTTTAACTCAGGATGAACTAGGCTTTTACTGCTACAGTTCACTGTTGTCATCTTCTCTGACTCCTGAAATTCTTGCCTAGGAACACAAGATAATTTTTTTTTTGTTTTCTGCTACCAAATAGTCTTCTGACAGAGTTTCAAGGCTGTATGTTCTACTTCTAGTGACAAAAGGGAAAGATGTGTTCTTTATTCTGTCAGAGGATGAGGGATACCTGAATTGTGCTACGTGGTTTACCTATTGCATCACAAACGGTATGTGCCCATCTGTACTCTGCAGTGTATACATCGGTGTTCAAGCTGTTACTTAACAAAGTTCATACCAGCAACCTACTCGTGCTATCTTGTCATATCTAAGGGAATCCTGCTGGTGCACAGCCTCTGGAATGCTATCTCTAGGACCCTGTGGACCCTTGTGTCATGAGCTGCAAAGATGAAGCAAAGCAAGCTCGGTTCAGCGGTCATTTCCTCAGTCCGTGTTAAAGCACCAGTGAAGCAACAGCAAAAAAAACCACAACAGCAGATAGACTTCTACCCAGTTCTATTTACTTTGTTTTCACACTTTAGGAAACAGAAGTAACTCTGTAAAAGGTGGGACCATGTTCTATTTGTATCAGTAAGTGAATGAGAGTACATTCTGCACATGGCTCTTGAAGGTAATTAATAGCAGATTTGGAAAGACAAACCTTCAGCATCGGTTATCCTTAAAAAAGACTTTTGGCAGCCTGGCAACTAACTCACTGGTCATCAGTACAGTTACTGGAAAGCTGACTCTCCCAGGCACAATGCTTCAGCCTCACTTTAAGTGTCACATCAGATTGATTTTTAGCATCTTAAACACTCACATTTCCTTCTGGCAATATGTGGGTGGATCTCTCAACATGATGGGAACTTTCTGTTTGACCCAATTTTCTGTTTGACCCAGATAAAAAGAGGATATACAGGTCATGATCTGTCCATGTTTCAGGGCATAATTATATCTAATTTTCTAATAATCTGGTTTCTATAGAGTGATTTTTTTTTTCCCATTTTTAAAATACCTGTTATGCCAAGTTGAAACATTGATCCTGCTGTACAGAGATGAAGTCATTTGCCTGAAATCACAAAGCTGACCCCAGTAACAACAGATCTATCCGTGAGCCCCGTTCTCACCATTTGTTCACATCATTTGGTCAAAGATGTAACAGAGTCAAAAGCCTCATTCAACACTGCCTTATCACACATTGTGCTGTGCAGGCACAAAATCAGGCTTTATTTGCAGGTCTAGGTCATGAGTAGAATGGTGTTAATGCTTCCAATACAGAGAGCATGCAAAAGGACATACTGAAGTAATTTGCTGGAACAAAGCCCATGGCAGAAGATAGGGCTAGTAAACACCCTTGTAGCAGTATTGAATAAGGCAGACACCAACAACTTTAGCTCCCCAGCAAGCAAGCATTGACTAAAGTCATTGGAATGGACTCACTGTGTTGAAGGATAGGGAGGATTCATACTTTCATTGCCTGTGAGAAATACCACAGACTTTTCCAGATATGCCACTGCCCAGTGACATCACACCTTTCTCTGCCTCAGTTTTGTCATCCACAGAACTGGGGAAATGGTGTTGAGTCTCTTTGCAAAACACAGATCTGTGGCAGGAGAGGCCTACATAATCCTAAAATATAATTTGTTTTTAGGCAATTGATGGTTGGTACAGATAATTCAGATTGCTACTGTGGCTTCTCCCTGTGCTAGTAAAGTGAAATTCTGCCAGCCCCCGTTACGAAGTGATGTGTGAGTTTGATTATGCTTGTGACCAGGTGTAGCATCTCCATGCCTTGTCTCACCTTCCTGCCTCCCCTGAGACCTGGCTGGAGCACAGATCAGGCAACTAAGTGCAAAGCAGGTTCTGAAAATGGGAGGAGTGTATGTGCAAATTCTGGGAATCCACCTCAGATCCCTACCCCACCTCTTCCCACCACCTCGCAGTGCCCGCCCCCGGCTTCAGTCTGCTGCCTTAAACTGCTGCCGCCCCGCGCTAGGTTGAACATTCTCGGCTGCTGACTGCACAAGTGCACCTGGTGGGACAGACATGACGGGGCTGAGGTTGTGCAGCTGGGCTCCCCTGGGGTCTCTCCTCTCCCTGCTCTTTTCTACCAGCGTGGCGGTAAGTGAAGAGACAGCGTTTAGGAAACTGCGTCTTAGCGCAGAACGTGGTGTTGGAGAAAATCCACTAAAACCAGCCCTCTTTCTTCTCTTCAGTACATTGCTACCAGAGACAACTGCTGCATATTGGATGACAGATTTGTAAGTACCTGAACAGATTTCTTTTATCTTAAGAATGTAACTGAAGTTTTTCTATGCTGATTATTAACTAGCGTTATCACTTGAACCTCATCATTGTTTTCAGTGCTTATTAAGTGTCCTTTGCTTAAACCTGTCATTTACTGATAGCAGTATATGCTTGGTAAAAGTGTATGGGAGGCTGCACTGTGGGTGAAAGCACATATCCAGCACATGCTACAATAATGGCATGCACTGTTTTCTTGCTGTGTGCACGTAGTGTGAAAGTAAACTCTGGAAATTCAAATACAGCAGACGAAGTCTGCTGCGAATGCCTGCCCTTTTTTATCCTTTATCATTTGTGTCAGCAGTGTCTGAAAGTTCCTCTGCCCAAATATTCTGCTCTGCTTTCTTTGCCCCTGGAACATTGCCAACTGTGTCTCTTTACTCCTTAGGGTAGCTTCTGCCCAACAACTTGTGGCATTGAAGATTTCTTTAGTAAATACCATACCGCTGTGGATAATGACCTGCTGGAAATGGAGAGACTTTTGCAGCAGATTTCTAATGCCACAGTAACAGCAGACCATCTGATCGAACACATACAAAGCCTCTATCCTTCAGAAAAGCAGACATTACCAAGTGAGCATATAAAAATAAGTACACAACTGAAAAATATTATGTGGTTTTCTTTTTTTTTAATTTGCCTAACTACAATTGTTTTGTACCTTTTCTGTTTTACAGATTCAATTGATGATTTCACTCAAAAGTCCAGGAAAATAATTGAAGAAATTATCAGATATGAAAACACTATATTGTCTCATGAAACTACTATACAGTAGGTATCTTCACTTCTGTTGTCAGTGACAATGCAAATAGTTTTCTTTCTGTTCTTTTGTCAAGTGCCAAAAAGCCTCTCTCAGAAAGGTTTTTTGTGCTCTTGCGGACAGTTCTGCCCACACTGCCATTAGCAGCTGCCTAGCAAGACACAGAAGGATCATGAGGATCTGACACTGAATTCCCTGCTCACCTGGATAAACTGTTAATTGTGCAAGAAGTGCAAGATAAGAATGCCATGAAGCCTGGCAATATTTTTATTTATGTTTCTCCTGCTGTGCCAGCTATCCCTAAATTTTTTTTCATGACCTTTGGAGGTCATGAGTTTTTACTGTAAAGCAGAGCACGTGGAATGTTTGTGCAATCATTTAGTCTGGCCAATTTTGCTGCATACATCCATGAAAATTAGCTCAATTACCTAGTTCAAAATCATAAGTAACTATAAACTCAGTGACAGTCTTTTATAAGTTGGCATTGGAAATAGAATTGAAAACATCATTAATGTTACTAATTCTTAAGGATATGTTTTTTGACAGATCTCCGCTTCTGTGACATTATGTCAAAGATTTTTTTTTAGGCATTCTGGCACTAACAGCAGTTTATTTAGAGCACTTACGTTTTACAAATAAATCCATAATTGAAGAGGACTTTATAATTTACTTCAGGAGAGCAAAGTGAAACTTTCCATAGAGTTATATTAATGCATTAATTACTGGTTAGAGTTTTTCTGATTAGAGTCAAGTTTTGCGTATGGTTAAGTTTTGCATGAGGTTAAGCACGTGCTTTCCTATTTTACCTGTCCTTAACTCTGAATACCACTGCTGAGAGAGGCACCCCGTTTTACAGGGGTGCATGTAGCAAGCAGCATGTTAATCCATGAGGCATGGGTCCAGGGAAATGAATGTGCATTACACATTCTCAAACAGCAGATACTGTAGCTATGATATTTTCTGAAAAATCCTTTTGCCAGGATTTTCCCCTCCTGAGGAGCTAAGGGCCTCAGGAGAGAAATGTAAACAATAACTATCTGCTGCTGTGGAATGCAACAGGTGCATCTGTGATTGGTGCATGTTGGTCATTTCTAATTAAGAGCCAATCACAGGTGCAGCTGCATCAGACTCCGAGAGTCACAAGATTTTGTTATGCATTCTATTCTATTCTATTCTTGTTCTTTGTAGCCATCTGATCATTCTTTTCTCTCTGTTATTTTAGTATAGTTTTTATGTAGTATTTTAATATAATGTATATCATAAGATAAAAAATCAACCTTCTGAGAAAATGGAATAAAGCCTCGTGTCTCCACACATGGAGTGTTCTCCACAACAGATACAACAACCCATTTTTGTGTCTCTCTGTCCAGACAGTTGACAGACGCACATATAATGAACGGCAACAGGATCACAGAGCTGAAACAGAAGATTGCCCAGCTTGAGTCACTCTGTCAGGAGCCATGCAAGGACCGGGCTGAAATTCAGGAGACAACAGGAAGAGGTGTGCAGAATGTTTCCTGATGCTGAAAGTTTAATTCAGCTACAAGTGCTGCTGCTTGGCATCACAGCAATGATTTACTTGGAATCTTATGGGTCACAGACTTCTGCAAAGACATATGAAATTGCAAATTGTGGAATCAGTCAGTACAAGTTAGATGCTCTGCAGGCAAGGATTCAGGTGGAACTTAGCTCTTGCTTGGCCTTTTTGGCCAAAATACAATTACCCAAAATGTGAGCTAAACATAAGGGACATGACTAGAGTTTCCATGGACCTGGGACAAAGAGAAGATAACTTATCAGATTTCTACTAAGCCATGTGGAAAAAAAATTAATTATTCCATTAGGTCCAGAAGCATCTTTCTTTGTTGCTGTAGTCAATGCAATGACTATGTTTTACACTGCTTAAACTCTATGTGAGACTAAATTCATCTTCACCTTACAAAGTACTGTGACCCTTGGTAGGATTTTTTATGGCAATGACATTGAAGTATGTGGACTAAATAGCTAACTTTGCAGCAGTGGTATTTAGATAAATTGCATTTCTTGCAATAAGAAAGTTACAATAGAAAATAAATGTGAAGATAGAATTGTAGCTAGATTGAAAATGATCTTTGGAATATCTTTACTTCAGATTGTCAAGACATTGCAAATAAGGGTGCAAGGAAAAGTGGTCTGTACTTTATCAAGCCTCAAAGAGCCAAGCAGTCATTCCTAGTCTACTGTGAGATTGACTCATATGGCAATGGCTGGACAGTACTACAAAGGGTATGTCACTTATGTATTATTGCTATAAACAAACTTTTTGCATCAGCACTGTTTTTATTTACCTGCATATGATGCATATATTTTTGACTGAGTTTTTTTATTTTTGTTTTTGGTGTTCTTGGTTTTTTCCATCAGAGACTGGATGGGAGTGAAGACTTCAGCAAAAATTGGGTTCAGTACAAGGAAGGATTTGGACATCTGTCTCCAGATGACACCACTGAGTTCTGGTTGGGCAATGAAAAGATGCATTTAATAACTACACAGTCTACTCTTCCATACACCTTACGAATAGAGCTGGAGGACTGGAGTGGCAAAAAAAGGTACTTGCTTATGGTGCTTCTGAAAATGACAGCTTAAAACCTGCTGCTCCCACTGCTGCATCAGTTCGTGCTGATAAAAGGTCACTCCTAAAAATGATGAACCCTTAGACCAGCTGACGTGTACATGGTACTGCTTTGGCTCCTGAACTTACAGCAGTGACAGCAGTCACTGGGTGTGACTTGCTGCCAGGCACACGTGTCTGTCAGAAGGCCACATGCAGTCAGCACTCATTTATTAGGCAGAAGGAATCTGTTTCTTGTCTCCAAGTTTCTTTGTCTTATCTTATGGACTACATGATTATTATAGTTCTAGTCTACACTGTTCTGTTTTGTTATGTTCTATTATTTATTTTTTATTTATATTTTTATTATGACTCTAGGAGATTATATATATAATGTGTGTGCATTGATAAAGTAGACATTTCATACATCACTAAAGACTAGTAGTCAGAAAATATGTCTGGCACTGGAGCACAAAAGTTGATTGGATGTGTGTCACCGAACTGAGGCCCACAGTCACATAAAAACAATTTGTTCTAAAATGCTAGGATGCAATAAATGCCTTTTCTGCAGTTTTACCGCTGATGCATTTTTCACCTGTGCATGTGCTGGGAATGCAGCATGCTCATATTCAGCACTGCCCACTGTTCACAGCACTGCTGACTATGCTGTATTCCGAGTGGGAAGTGAAGAGGACAAGTATCGACTGACTTACGCCTACTTCATCGGGGGCGACGCCGGGGATGCCTTTGATGGATACGATTTTGGGGATGACCCAAGTGACAAATCCTACACCTACCACAACGGCATGCGGTTCAGTACCCACGATAATGACAACGATAACTACGAAGGCAACTGTGCTGAGCAGGACGGATCTGGGTGGTGGATGAATAGATGCCATGCTGGCCACCTCAATGGCAAATATTATAAAGGTAAGGTATCTTCTTACAGTCCAGGACACCAGGTTTCAGTGACAAAGGAAAATGAGTCACGTTAATAGAGTACACTTTGCCTTCTGGATTTTCCAAAGATCGCATAGCCCATTCTTTGCAATAATTGTTAACACCAGTAGTAGGAATTCATGACTGCTCTCCATTCCAAAGTGGGAGAATCAAAGAGAGAAACAAAACAGAGGGAGAAAGGTGGTGAACAGGGTCTGTTAGGATACCCAGGGATGCCATGGAAGTATCAGGACCAGAAAAATATATGGGTGCAGTAACTATTTTAGAAAGCAACCAACTGTTTTGCTCCAACTGGTGCTTCCTAGGTGGTGTGTACACATCAGAAGATGCTGGTCCATCTGGATTTGACAATGGCATTATCTGGGCAACCTGGCGTGACCGGTGGTACTCCATGAAGAAATCTGCAATGAAAATCATCCCATTCAACAGACTGTCAGTAGATGGGCAGCAGCACAACTTAGGCAATGTCAAACAGGTTCGACCACAGGGCCGGGGAGATATTTAAAATGAACACACAACATTGTAATAATTTCAAACACTGACCATGTACAGCTGAAGCTAAGCCCACTGCATCTTAGAGAAGTTGGCTTTGTTTATAATTTTGTCATAGTAGTAGTAGTAGTCACATTAGTACTTTAATTTTAGTGCACCTTATACATTACTGTTTCTTTTAATGGATAGATAAATGGATAGTCTTATGATTAAGAATAATCCCTTGCCTTTGTGTATTTTAAATGCTGCATTTTTAATTTCCACCTATAAATATTTATGAACACTATCAACATGTCATCATAGCCTTATGTACTTCTTTCATTAGAAGAACATTAAAATACTCTCTTTTTTTCTGTTTTAGGTTGGAGACGCATAAAGGACAATTTGAAAAAGACCAGTCTGAACAGGAAAAGCAAATCTTTTCTTAGACAGTGAACTTAGCAAACATTACACAGTTCAGTTTTGACTATAAAGCAATATTGACTGTAAGACACCCAAACCTCTTCCCTGAGCAGTACATACCTCTGTAGATGGTTGTTTTTTTTTCTGTACACATTCTCAATAAATTTTTGATTATTACAAAAAAGGTCTGAGTTTGTTATCTGTGGTCTACAGCTGGCCAGACAAGACAAAGGAAACTTTTGATAGCTGGATCAAACCTACTTGATTCAGTCATTCCTGAATTTCACACCAGCAGTTCCTGCTCTTTGTTTAGAGGCATGTGTTCAACCTATTTCTCCATAAATGTGACAAGTATCTATAAGTTTTCAAGTCTTCTAATAAAGTTTGGTGACATAGATCAAAGTACATAGCATCTTGAAAGTAGCCTATTTTACTGCTGATGACTATTTAACTTAGCTTACCACAAAGTAATGCATACATTTTCAGTCAGCATGTGCTAGGTAGTATGAATGACCAAGAAAAGGTATTTTACTCCAGACCATACATATTAACAAATTTCTCAGATTTACTTGGAATAAGTTTCATTTGCTATATGACACATTGTAGTGCCCTGTACAGCTGTTATTCTCACATACCCCTTTTTTTTCCCACAAATTTTTAAAAATTACTTCAACGTATTCAGTGCCATACAACCAAAAAATGTTACAATTTGCAGCAGAAATTGATTGCATGTTACTTCTATTTTCTCTCTCTGGATCTGATAATGATTTCCCATGTGATCCACATAAGGAAATCCACAGCACTGATCATGACCAGTAAAGAGTTTGCAATGCTGTCTGAATGTACCTCCTCAGAATCTGATGAGTGCATTTGAGGGGCGTGTTAGCAGACCAGATTAGGTCTGTGGATAAATTGTTCAACAAAAGATACACCCAGAGCTAGAAACTATCACTATCTCAAGCTGATGCATGAAGAAGTAAAATAGGAAATGTATATTGGTCTTTATTTTTAGCTTCTTGTGAAACACCAGAAGTTTTCCTGATACCTCTAAATAGCACATTCAGGTGCTTTCTTTTAGAGACAGGAGGACATGGCAGTGATAAAAGAGACCTTACAGTCAGTTCATGCTGCCTCAGCAGTTTTCCAGTTTTGATGCCCAGACGTCTGGTGAGGCTGAGCATCTTCCCTCAATCTGAGTCTCCACATCACGATAATCTGCCAATTCCCTCTCATTTTTAATTAAGATTTTGACATAGTTGAAGTTTTGCTCTTGGGCCAAAATCTAAGAGGAAGACAGGTTTCTAAGGAGAGAAGAAGGCATCATTAGCTAGGGCCAGGTGAGGTTAACAACAGCTTTAGAGGAGGGGTGACCCCTCCACACCACTGAACTGGTATATTGACACAACTCTGTTGCACCCATGCAACCAGCCATGATGCACAGCTCCCTGCCAGCCTTGACACTCAATTCCTCACCAAGCAAAGCAGTTTTCCTGAACATTTTGTGCTGTAAGGCCTCTCCTGTAGCTCCATGGAGCTGAAGCAGTATGTGTAGAGAGGCTGGAAAGAAGGATGAAAGGGAAGGGTTGGCAAGCCCAGTCTCCTCCTTGTTCTGCAAACAGCCACTTGAGTAGCATTGGTTGAGTCCCTTCCCCTTTCTGTTTTCAATTTATGCCACCTATGACATGACTTTAAGTTGATATTATTTATATATTTGCAACATGGATTTAAAAAATATTCCTTTCACCTCTGTCATTTTGATATCTGTATTTACACTCTGCTAGGTCAGAATTATCATTGCCTCTCCTAATTTAGCTTTTGACTGCAATTTGATGGCCATCTGCTGTAATTATACACATTTCATGGGTATAAGTTGGCATTTTATGGATTGCTCACCATAACTAAGATCAGATTATTCTTCCAGTTGGTTTGCTGATGGGTGTCTTAAAGTTTTCATAAATCATTTTAATCTCTGGAAAGGAGCATTTTCTCCAGCAGTCAGAAGGATCAGAGTCAGCAAATTCAAGAAGTCTGATCTTTCAATGAAGTCCTATGCCGGAGTTAATCAGTGAGTCTTCAGGATCCCAGCCCACTGTTGTGTTCTCTGGGCTCTGGAAGAAATCTTGCAAGACTCGTGCCTCTAGAAGCCCCTTGCTATGGTATCCAATACCATATTTATCAGAAAGACGCCGGAAAATACCTGGGTTTTTTTTAACTCATAAAAATAGAATAATACTCTCAGTAGTATTTTTTGCAAGCAAGTACATTGCAATTGAACTTACTGCCCCTATTTTTTATACTGAGAGCTGAGCATATTTCTCTTTTCTAAATAATTTTTTATCATACATGACCCTCAGACTGTAGCTTATAGTAAAAATTACCTGTATTTAGAAAAGTATGTACCTCTCACTTTATAAAAGTTTATTAAGGATTTGGTGGCCTTTGTTTCATACCTTGTGCTTGCAGTGATTCTTCCAAAGACCACTGTAGCACAAAAAAGAAGGATCTCACTCCAAAGGCAAGGGAAAAAAAAAAGTGAATGGGGAAGATGTAGAGGAAGAAAGAATCAAATAAAGTGGATGAACTGCAGGACTTCTGGTATATTGCATTGGGAAAATGTGGGACAAAGTGCTGGGACTGACTAGTAATGACTTCAGAAGGGTTAGGTAGTCTGAGGAGCATATGATGAGATAATGAAGATGAGAGCTGAGTCTGAAGGAGAATGAAGTCCAAGACAAAGCATCCATAGGCAGGTCATGAATGAGCAGACAGGAGGAGCAGAAGGCACCACTTGGAAGCTGGTGGTAGGGCAGGAGACACAGAGGGCACTGGGCAAACAAGGTGAGGCTCACACACCACCTCTAAATCCCAGACTCCCCGGCTGTTCCTGTGGCATTCAGCCAAAAGCAGGGCAGATGAAGTAGTGAACTGCAGTTCTGTCCTTTGATCCTGAATTAAAGTTAAATCCAAAGTTTATCTAGCTCTTGGCCTCCAGCCTTTCAAACAAACACCAGCAGAAGTGACTGAGTGATTGCAACATGAAAGCAGAAGTACAGGCTGAAGGTCAGGCACACAGATTCAGCCCCTGACTGTAAAGCCTGAGAAGCTCCTCCTTTGCCCCAGCTTCCCCAGCAGTTGCCTTCGCAGCAAGCAGGAAACCCCTCTTAGCTTACCTAATATTTATGATCAGATATCAACTTTTTTCCAGTCCCTCTAGCCTTGTTGGCTGAGTTTTACTTGGACCAGGGTTAGGTTTACAGTGTTTGAGTGTCACCAGAGAGCTGTGCCATCCCTCAGGGTCAGAAGAGGTCTGGAACATGCTACTTGCCATGTCCCCTGTTACCCTGGTGACCGGTGCCTGGAACACCACCTAGCAAATTGTCGCATCCTCTGTCAGCATGGTTGAAAAGGCAGAAATTCTTCTGCTTTATGTGCTCTTACTACTACTGATTTTTAAGGCCCATTAAATTACAAATATAATGTTAAGTTATTATTGATGATCACAAAATCAAGCATTGACAAACTAGGAGAAGTTAGAACCCACGTGACATATCACATCTGCATTATGAAGGATGCTTTAGTTGTTGCACAGATTGTAACACACACAGTTAGCAAGGCAGGGTGGGGCCCAGTGGTGCCTTCCTTACAGCTGATACCCTGCAGAAGTAGGTGCTATTCCTGCCCTGATCAGAGGCCAGACATGTGTCTCAGAGCTGGCTGCCATCTGTTCCCCCTGAGCCGTGGTGCCGGCACAGAGAGGCAGCTGCCAGCAATGGGATCTGCACACTGGGTGTGCTCGGAAGACTTCAGGCCATCAACATGGATCCCAAAAATTAATAGCTACTTTTTGACTTAGCCTTCTCACCTGGTTTCCACCCCTGTGAAAAGGGGAAAGTCATGGCCAGGGGATGAATGTAATGTACCATAGGAAAATCCTTGAAGCTTTAAGCAGTCTGCAGAGCATCACTCTACAATGAAAAGAGTGTACAGCTCTGGGCAGATGCTTGCTTGTGGAGCACCATCCCCATGCTCGGTGTGAGGCAGAAGGGGTGATCCTGTGATAGAGCACATCCATGACTGTATGCCCAAGGAGAACCCACAAAGGTTGCACCTGCAATTCTTGTGTTCTTGAGCATGAAGATCATAAGCTGGTGATTTTTCACTGGACTTTTGTGTATTATGAAGTAAAAAATTGAGCTTTTTTGACTTTGAGTGGGATATTCTCCAGGACCTCAGTATATTTTGTTCAACACCAACATGCAGGAAAAGCAATGACTTCATTTTTCAAATACCAGCTCTTCGTTTATGCAGATAAATGCCCATCACACTGTGTGTTTTCCAGCAGGTAAGCACTGCTGGATCCCACTAGTGCTGACATACGTCTTGGTTGACTGTCCAGTTACAAGAAACAGTTTTAGACAGAATGTTTTCCTGGAATTCTTGGTGTTGCCCGCATGTTGCCATTGAACAAACTTATCTGGAGCAAATAACTCCAGAAACTTGTGCAAGAGGCCTTAGGTAATCACCAAAACAGGAGGGGGGCATGTGGTGTGTTTTTTCTACAAACAGAAGGGAGCATAATGATTAATCTCAGCTTCACATTCGGGTTTAAATTGCACTAAAAGACTGGCAAAAAGCATCCTTTCAATCTGAGTTCTTGCTCTTCTCCTGAAGATGATACCTGTGAGGATCCTCTGTGTGCTCCTGTGCCTCAGCATAGCCTGGGTATGAATTTGCTTACCTTTTTGTATCTTTCTGCTTTGAATAATAAGCATTTATTTAATGTTCATTCATGAGATAGATAAATTTTGTCTATCACCTAGCTTGTAAAATTCAGAGCACACACATATGCAGCAGCTTACTGTAACCACTGATGGAGTTTCATCACTACTTTTGGAGTATCTAGCCCTCTATAGTTTTGCTTAACTAGGTTTTCCTGAATCTGCCAGGCTTCAGGAGCATCAAAGCAAATCCATTTACATGAATTCAAACAATCATAGGTGATGCTCTAAGTCTTAAACATAACTGGCTGGATGCTAGTGGCTCCAGCCTTTCAGGAATTTTCATGCTTATTGGGATG